GGGGGCGGGGAACAGGGGGGGCGGGGACCGGGGGTGGCACGTGTTCATACAGGGTCAAGTGTTCAGACCCGGTTGGGTGGCTTGGGTTCCCCCAGCAGAGAGGGTGTTGGGTTTACAGTCCGTCAACCCTGCTTTGTCACTGCAGACGGGAGTTGACAGACGGGACAGACGGTGGACGTCGTCGCTGGTCAGAGTCAGGACTCGGTTTGGGGAGGATTGGGTTCAGGTTCTGTTGGAGCCGTTGGTTGTTTGGGGGCTGAAGGAGGACCAGGTGACACCAGGTGACACCAGGTGACACCAGGTGACACCTGGTGTCACCTGGTGTCAACAAAACATCAAAACAACAGTGGATGTTGCTGATGATCAAGGCTGTTTCAGCCTTGATCATCAGCAACACACACACGTGTTGGTGTTTCATCCTCAAAGAAGACTTTGATCAGATGGTTCTGTGGTTCATCAACCAATCAGACGTGAGGAGGACGTGTGTGTGTGTCCACTCTACACACTTCACGCAGTGACAGAACCGTGTGAGGGACGAAACAGAGCAGTGAAGCAGTGAAGCAGTGAGGAGGAATGCCAAGTTTAGACCCTCNGCCTGATAAAGCACAGCTTAAAAAGGGCCAGCAGACCTTGGAGCACCTGGGACACACTGAGCTGGATTAAGTTCCACGCTGCAGGAGGATTCCAGCAGCGGCCGCTACAGTCAATGACACTCGTCTCTGCAGGATCGAAGCACAATCTCCATTCATGAAACCTAATCTGTGGAACGCCGTCGGGAGTAAAACCACTTTCAGCATCGTTTACGATCTGCGTCCACAAACTCCTGCCCCGCCGCCGCCGCCGGGATCAGGTTCCAGCTCCGGGGACCAGAAACACTTCAGGTTGTTGGAAAGTTGACGGAAACACCCTGAACGCAGCGGTTCCCCGGCAGCCAATGAAGTCATTAGATTAGGATTAAATCCCTGACTGAGTGACGGCCACTGGGAGGGGCCGGTCTGGGGGCGATACAAATAGCATTTGGCTCCGGGCTTTACCCAGCTTAAAAACGCTCCAATGTCATTAGAGCAGAGACATAT